TGCAATTCTTGGAATCGCAGTCCTCGTTTGGTGGCCTGGTTTTCGTGAGGCTGCTACGGATAGTGTTCCCAGATCTGAAGCAGGTTCTGATGTTATACTTGGACCCAATCCTTCTTATCCTTTCCGACAATCCTCTGATGTAGGGAAGTACAAGTACTGGTTGTGGCGGCTTCTCTTTCTTGTGGAGCTCTTGCTGTCTTCTAGCTAAAGCTTCCTATATGAAATTGTTATTTTTCAGCTAATCTTTTTAATTTTTTACAGATTCTTTCACGGATTTCAAATTAATTTATATCATACTAGTACGATGTTGATGTATGACTGCTGTTCCAATGTTTTGACAGAATCAAAATCAACGATCTTAGGCGTGCGCAGCGTTATAGAACAGTGCTTTCAAAAAATTGTTCTACAGCGCCATCTACTGGCGAGTTACAGAAAAATGGATAGCCTAAAAACCTGTCTCTCTCCACTCAACGCATTTCATATTAGTTACGATCTAACTGTGTAAGGAAAGAGACAGTCAGCAACAAATTATTAGTTTTACACCTAATTCATTAGATTAGTAGATATAGTGGTTATTTCAAGGGCGTCATTTTCGATGAAAAACGAATTTGAATAATCAAATGTCAATGTTAAAATTGGTCTGATTTCCTTACCTGCACGCCATTCGTTTTCTTCTGTCTAACCATCGCAGTTGCTGTTGATTTTCGTTTTCCTCGTCAACACCGAAGAAATTGGCAGTTTCTTTTCGTATATAGTTTTTGATTATTTCTTTCCTGCTCATCGACCTGTTCAAAGGTGGTCTTTCCCTATTCGGAATTCTTTCACTTTGAGAATATGCAACAGGCCTTTGTATTTGCGGCTTATTCCTTTCCACAGGAGACGAAACAGGAAGCGAAACTGCTCTTTGATGGCTTGGAGTTTTGACGACATGAGGAGGGGTTGTTTCGGATATTTTTGTTGCACTTTCAGCGGCATAACCACAATTTTCTGATTTTGGAAGTACATGATCCAGCGGTGCAACGGGCGTTATGGGTCGTTGGGAAAGTTGTTTCTGGGATGGAGATGGCTGAGTTGGTTCTTGAGATTTAGTTGGGAGGGGTTGTTGTTGAAGTTGTTGTAAAGGCGAATAGGTTACTTGTGGGGCCCCTCTCCTGAAACAACAAATGAGACAATTAAGACATAAATAAAAAGTTTAAGGTGTTGTGTGCCCTAGAAAAGAATCGATTATTTTATTGGTGAATAGACACATATAAACTTCCATCTCTGAATAATTTGGCAGAGGACATTAAAGAAATGCACTGTATAAACAGTTTCTG